GGAAGATGTCATCATCAGCACCCGTGGGGGTTGGTCCCAAGGGTTTGAGAGTAGGAGTGTTGCTGTGCGGGGTGTCATGCTCACACAGCTCTGGGGGAAGGGTCCCTGTCTAGCCACTGCCTCCACCAGCCCATGGCGTTACGCATGTGGCCCCACACATGCCTTGCTGAGCTGGGTGACATGGCTTTGCCGCCTGGTGATTCCATGCTCCTGAGGCCCCGCTTTTCTTGCTCCCAGCTTCTAGCTTCTGTGTGTCCTCCCTGGTGTCTGTGATACCCTCCTTCAGCTCTCAGGCCACCCCCTCTACTCACTGCAGTCTCCGAGGGACACACTCCATACCTGCTGGGGCCACCCTGGGCTTCTCATCCCAGTGGCCTGGGGCAGGTCCTGGGCATTCACTGTCCCCTGAAGCTCTGGACTTGCGGTTGCACTGGTCTTCCTCCACCTGTGGAGGACCGTGTGCAGATGCTCTGGTGTCCACAGGAAGAAGATGGTGTGCAGGTTTCTGTGGCTTCTTAGACTCCCATTCTGGCAGGGCTGATGTAAAATTCTGCTGAAATTGCTGCCCTTCTTTGTGTGGCAGGTAGCACTGGTGGGTTAGGGTGCATTACCTTTGACTTGCGAAGTCCTGCTAATGGGCTTGGAAAGCCGAGAGTCCCAGTGAAAACACACCCAGCCAGGCAGTGCCCTGAAGAGCTGGCCATCCCTGGGAGGCTGGTGTCACCTGCTCCGGGAAAGAAGGCTCTGTTTTGCTTCAATTCTGTTTAAACTGTCAGAGGGTCTAAGGAGTTTCTTTCCTCGCCTTGACCTAACTTAATGTCCAACTGATCTGACACGGACAGTACGTGCTCATTCACGGCCCGGGTTTTCCAACTCATCAGTTTTTCCAGTTACAGACCCACTGCCCTTTCTCGGTTTTTGGCCTGATTTGGATGAAGCCTTTGGTTCTGCTGCCCCTCCCCTAGCTTTGTGCCTGATTTGGTATGTTCTTGTGGCTTCAGGTGGCCTTTGCTGGTCTGAAGCTGGTTCTTGGTGTCCTCTGGATGAGAGGTCAACCTGGGCTACCAGAGCTGGGGCGGTGGTACTGGGTGTGGGCTGCACACTGATGCTCCTCGAAGAAATTAAGGGGTGGGGGCAGCATCGCAGGGGCCGGTTGGGGGCAGAGCTTTGGGTCCCTGGCACTTGCTGGGTGGTAATGCCATTTGGTGCAGAGCTGGCCCTTCCAGGTCAGGCAGTTCTTCATTTGGCTGCACCAGTTGAGCCGGACACTCCCCAACTTCATTGTAAGTCCATCACCTCCCAAGTTCAGTCAGTGCCATCTGTGGTCAGGGGCCAGCTATTGGGCCTAGGGCTGACCACCCTGGGATGTGCAGCTCCCTGTGGGCCGAGCTCCTCCCCTGCAGGGGAGCTCCTGGGCTCCCACGCCCCTCCTTCACCTCCCTGTCATTCTCCCCCAGTTACCGTCCTCACAGGCCTGCTGGACACACTGGAATGTGTCCCCTGGGTGTGCAGACTGGGGAGGGGGCAGAAGGGGTGTCCTGTGCAGGGCAGTGTGCTGGCCCCAGCCTGCCCACAGGGAGCAGCACACAGAGCCCTGGCTTGGCATCTCGGTGAGGCAGTGGGAGGGCACGGTGTGGTCAGGCATTCCTGTTCTTGTGGTGAGGGTCTGGGGCGAGGAGTCTGACCATGCTCAGTTGGGGTGCTCCGGGTCTCAGTGGTGCACTGCTCTGGGGTCCTTGTTTCCTGTGGGGAAGATGTGGCAGTCCCTTCTCTCCTGGGCCACCCTGCCTCTGCCACTCTGGCACACATCGGCACTGACTGGGCCCCCTCTCCAGGTCCAGTTTTCTTCCTGAGACTTGAATCAGGAGCTGGTGACAGGGATATAGGGCAGCAGAGCATGAGAGGGTGGCAGTGCTGTCACATCCTGTTTCCAGGGCAACAGTGGCTCATTGCCCCCCAGGTCTGCTGTCCGTGGATGGCCCCACAGATGTTTCCCAAGGTCGGCTCTGGCGAGGCTGTGGCCAGTGTCCCGGCCTGCTGTTTCCTGAGCCTGCTCCTCCAGTCTCCCCAGAAGTCCTGGGGGCCCTTTGGTAAATTGCCTCTGCTCCAGCTAGCTGAGATGGTTTCTGATGCTTGGCATCAGGATCATGCTGGGGTCGGGCAGGAGCCCCAGCTGGTGGTCACGCCCATTGGGGCGCTGCTGGGAGGCAGAGCCTTAAGTGGGGGGGGGATACTGGGCTCTGCATGGGCTTCCCTGGTGAGTGAGGCAAACACTGACCGGGTTCTTGGTGCAAGGCTGCTCACGCCCGCCTTGGCCACCTGTGCAGAGGGCCTCTAGGAGGGGCAGGGCCTGCAGCTCCCGCCCTCCCCGAGTCTTCTTCTCGGAGCAGTGTCTTCTGTGGACACACTTGGGAAAACGCTGGCATGGTCACTGCTGGATGCTCTGGTTGGCCAGTGCTTATAAGCCCCTGGGGTGTGACAGTTGTGCCTTAGGGGACTCCAGGCCCTGCCCCAGGAACCTGGAAATAGCTCCCCAGTCAAGAAGGCAAGAGCCTGACAGTGGGAGGGGTGGTGGGCATTGCTGTCCAAGAATGGGCAGCATTTGGTGCTTGGGTGATTTGGGGAGAAAGCCAGGGCACTCAGGTGACAGGGTGGAGTAGTGGCTCTTTGTTGGGTGTGGATTGTGGGTGGCACTCCATCCCCTGGAGGCCTTTCCAGGGCCTGTTCTTACCCCTTGAGCTGACCTCTCCTTCTAGCTACTGTTCATCTTCCAGATAAAGCCACTAAGTGAAAACAGTCTAAGTGACGTTCTCAAAGAAACAGACCAGCGGTAGCAGGCCACAGACACACCCTGCCCTCATCTGGTCCTTCCCCCTGTGAGGTGCAGACAGGCAAGTGCTCCCAGCACTTGCTGGGAAGTTGGGCTTTCATCCTGCAGACACTGGGGTGCCACAGAAGGCGGGGCATTTACACAGTATGATGTGGTCAGGTGGTGTCTCTGACTTGTGCCCCAAGGCTGAGGTCTCCCCTGAATGGCTCTTCCACACCCAGGGCCCCTGAGAACACAGTTTCAAATCTCTGCCAACGTGTTCAGAATGGCACCTTTACTTGGGGCAGCTCCGGGGCTGGTGCTGAGGGCTGAGTCCTGGGACTGACATGGCACCCGGATGGCTGGCCAAGCCTAACACCTCTCCCCTGGCTGATGGAGAGAGACAAGAGAAGCTGTGTCACCAGCTAGAGGCAAGATGGCTTGATGGGTGCTACAGATGGAGGAGGGCCCGCAGGACAGGAATGGCCAGGCCACGTGGTGTGGGTGCACAGGGCCCAGCGGGGACAGCAGGGCAAGGGCGTTTCTGCAGAGGTAGACTTAAGGTTGCATGCTACGAGAGGAAGGCTGAGGACTTGGGCTGCCCCAGTATGGGGAACAGAGAGGTGACCTTGAAGGGTCTGCAGACGGCAGCTGGCAGGGGCCAGGGATCAGGCATCCTAGGCTCCAAGGCCACCCTGTCTCCAGCTCGCCTGGGAACCGAGGCAGCAGCCGACTGTAGGTGAAGAGCCAGCCTGGCCTGGCCATGCTCCTGCAGCACCCGAGACAGACAGGCAGCCAGTGGATAGGGCCCGTGGGCCGCTGCTTTTGGCCTGGTCTAGCCCCCAATGCAGACAGCTGATCTGTGTGAGCACTGGGGGGCCAGTGCCAGGTGGGCAGAGGAAGCCCAGGTGAGGCGGCAGTGAGGACGACGCTGCCCCGTGCAGGTGAGGGTCCACGAGTGGCTGCAGGTGGAGCTGTGGGGATGCAGGCTTCTCAAAGCACAGGTGTGGGTGGGGTGCAGGGGGCAGGGATGGGTGGCACTCTGTGCTGGGTGTGGGTTGTGAGTGGCACCCGTGCCCTGGAGGCAGCTGCCCCTCTGTGAAACACAACAGAGAGACGCACCCTTGCAGGGCGGTGGTTTGGACGGGCTCATCCCAGGTGGCTCTAGAACACAGAGGCAGAGGCAGCCAATGTACATAGCTCCTCCCCCAAGTGTGGGCTCAGGGAGGTCCCCCGGGGGAGGGGAGGGAGAGGGAGAGGGTAGCCAGGCATGGTGGGTGGGGTCACGGGAGCATTCTGGGACTCCTGAGCCTATAAGGCAGCAGGAAGTGAGTGGTGCGCATCTTGTTTCCCGGAACTGAAGGAGGAATCCCAAGGGGGTGGAAAGGCTCCTCTTGTCCAGGTAGGCGCACCTACCCCAGCCCTTCCTCACTCTGCATCAGAGTGATTTTCATAAAACACCAGCCTGGACTCTGTCACTGGCTTCTCACTGTCTTTGTCTTTAGCTCTGGGTTTCCTGACCAAAGTTAACTTCAAACTTGCTAACAAGGATACGTCCAGAGCAAAGCAGGTGCATGTTTTTCTGAATGTAAACTGAGCTCAGAGGGGTCCACCACCTCAGTGTCCCCGCGCCGGGCCTTCGCCCAAGCCTGCTGGCAGGTACCCGCCCGAGCAGGGCTGGTCTCCCCATCTCTCTGCACGACTGTAGGCCTCGCTGTGTTCTTTCTGCTGGGCCAGGGGCTGCACCTGGGCCTCGGGGCCTCTGGTATCCCCGAGCTCGTCCACCACTGAGCCAGCCCCAGGCATCCAGACTGTTGGCCTGTTTCTGTCCCCTGGTCGTCGTCTTAGGAAAGCAAGGTTACCTTAGTTTTAGGAACTGTTTGAAGAGCTTGGCCCAGCTCGGCTTCTTTCTACCTTTGTGTTGGTTAAAGATGGGGGGGAAGATGAAGGATGCAGTAATTAAAGGAACGTGAGCAGAGGGGTGGTGTTGGTTGGCTGCTCTAAGTAATTGAGGCAATTTTTTGTCTTGAAAGTGACTGTTGCAAATGTGACGCATTCCAACCAGGAGGAAGAGGCCAAGAAGACATGGGCTATGTCCTGTGTGTAGACAGCTGGTGCTTCTGCTGTGCGTGAGACCAGCCAGATCCTTCTGCACATGCTCCTTACTTGACCTCAAATCTTTTCTCTCTAGGCACTTGGCAGAATGGACAAGGCCTGTGTCCTGAAGCACAAAGTGCTGGAGAGCCCGCTGGGGAAGATCGAGCTGTCTGGCTGTGACCAGGGCCTGCACCGGATAAGACTCCTGAGCCTGAAGACCTCCACTGAGTGAGTGCCACCCGTGGTGTGTGTGTGTGTGTGTGGGGGGGCACCAGCTGAAAGCAACCAGTGTGACTTGTTGGCCACAGGGTAACGAGGAGCCCCTGCTGCCAACAGACATTCCTTGTTGTCTGCCCCCACAGGTTGCCCCAATGCTCCATCTCAATTAACATCGGGGCCTAACCTCTGGTTAGTGGCTCCAGGGCATTGGATTCATGTATACCTTCAAGGAGGGGTTGATTGAGCATTGATTCTCTAAGGCATGCACTGTGGGGATGTCCCTGGGAATTTGGTGGCTGGATAATATGTGCCTTACCTTGTTTTGTTTTTTTTTTAACCAGACTGGGATTTTGGTGAACAGGCCCGCTGGGTGAGGTCTGTGCTTCCTCTGTGGGATGCAGTGTCGGGATCTAGGCCCTCTGGAGGCAGTGAGCACAGCCTGCAGGGCGCAGGGCCTTCAGCCTGACCGGCGTCACCATTCCCAGGGGATGTGTGTTTCTCTTGCATGATCCTCACCGAGTTTCTCTAATTGTAAAAACATAAATGGAAAGCGCTCTCTAACGCTTTGTTCTGAAATGCAGCGTTTAATTTCCTCCTTTCATTGACCAAGAGTCATGCTAAAATCACAGTTCCCGTTATTCCTGACAGAAGGAAAAAAACCACCCACTCTTATGCCCGGTGTTGTCTTAACTGGCTAATAAACACAATGCCAAGAACATTAGGTAAAGAAAATACATAAGAAACATAAAAATTGATTTTAATGGACCCCTGTCAGAGACGGCTGTAATGAGCACGAGTGTGGTAATAAATATCAGTATCCCCCCACCGTCGGGGCTTTTCCTGTAGAGCTGCGTGTTACAATCAATATAGCCTTTTTTAAGACTAAAAAATAAGCAAACCTTTGAACTACATGAATATGCTCTTCAGTCTATGAGAAACATCTGGCTCCCGTGTTCAGAAAATCACAGGCACCAAATAATTTGTAGAGGAAAATGTCATTTTCTTTCTTTTTGCATGTTCATTTGCTTAATAAATCACAGGAATTATGGGTTGGGTCCCCCAATCCCCCTGCTCCCGCCTTTTGGAGAAAATGTAAATGTCCTTGCAGCAAATTTGGGAAGAAAGTAAAAACCGGGTGTTATGAGTTAGGTGTGGTTAAGAGCCTGCTGTGGACTCTCGGAGCAGCGTGCAGAGGCTTGATTGCGAGTTTCTACTTGAGTCTTGTGGCCCAAGTGAGCATCCGATTCAGCTGTGAAAACAGCCGCCAAGTAGTTACCCTTGTAGAACGGTGTCCTGGCTGAGCGCCTGGGCTCCTCTCCGCTGCCCTGGGGCTCTCCAGGCTGTGCCCCTGCCCTAGTGCTGCAGGGGAGAGAGAAGCCAGGGAAACCGACTCTGCTCTGCCTTTCTCTGGGCCACCAGGCAAGGGAGGACACTGTGCGTTCTGGCTAAAGCTAGAGCCCTGTGAGCAGGGTTCAATCCCCAGTAACCCCCCCTCAAAAAGTTGAATAGTATAAACCTGAATACTCAGAATCACGTTTTCAATATTGTTATTTTTTTAAAGTGTAAAATTCACATAGTGAAGTTTCTGTTTTCAGTGTATAATTCATTGTGTTTTGATGAACATTTCCAGCTATAGAGCCACTGCCCTAACCAAGATCTAGAACGCTCCAGAAGGTCACCTTGTGCCCCTTTAATCCATGGTCATTCCTGTTAGTGGGTCATTGGTCACGTCTCTTTGTAGATGCCTGTTCTCATTTCTTTCCCTCGAACTCCAGGGAGGGGAGTGGCTGGATGGAATGGCGAATGTGTTTGGCTTTGTAAGAAATGTCCGGAACGTCCCCGGAAGCGGCCTTGCTGTTCCACAGCAGCACGCCTCGGTTGCTGCCCCTGCCGGGACTGCCGTCAAGACTGGAGCTTTCAGCCTTCTGGTGGGTGTGGTGTGCTGCCCCTGGGGTCTTCATTTGCATTCTAAGTCTCTGTCCCTCTTGAGTTGGGCTTGCGGAGGTTTTTGCCACTGATTTGTGGTTTCAGACACAAGTCCTTCGTCACATCCGTGAGCTGTGGTTTTGTTTTTTTAGTTGCACATTTGTTTTTCTGATAGACTCTTAGTGCGAAGGTTTTAGTTTTTGAGAAATTCAGTTTGTTTTACGTTTAGCAATTATTTTCTTCAAAAAATAGTTCTCTGCTGTAATTTCACCACCATCTTCTACAGTTTCTGAAAGCTTCATCCTGGTTGTTCTTTTTAGACGTGTGACCCATCTTGAGTCATTTTTTCCTTAGCTATTCAGTTGTGTCAGGATTTGTTGAAAAAGCCCCCAGAGGTCCCCCCCACATCGGATCACTACGGTGCCTTTGTCAGCCAGCTGGCCATGAGCACAGGTCCTGTCTGGGCACCACTGCTGCGCACACCCGTGCTTGTTCTGTGCCAACTCATGCTGACTTGACCACGTGGCTTGGTGATTGGCCTTGAAATCGGGGAGGTGAGTCCTCAGCTGCTTCTGAGGTCACCCTGGTTCTAGGCCTAGTTGTCACATATTGCCTCCAGAGTTAGGTGCCCATCTTCTTGGGGTTGATGGAGAGCTGTGTGTATCTGTGTTTTGGAGGTTGACATCTCTCTTGAACTTGTCAACTTGTGACATGATTTTCCTGTTTGGGTTCTTTCATTGTCCCCAGCAGTGTGTTGCAGTTTCTAGCATAGGGACCTTGCATGTCTTTTGTGAAATTGATTTTTAAATACTTTACTATTGACGGTCTTCTAAGTCAATTTAAAACTTTAATTTTTAAATTATTGCTGCTGGTTATGACAATTGATTTTGTATGTTGATCTTACTCTCTGGGATCTTGGCTAGATTCAGTTGCAGTAGTGTCCACCACTGCCCCAACCTTGCCTATAGTTTTACTTTCTGATGTGTGCTACCCATCCTCAGCAAGCGTCTAAAAATACTTAGTAGAAGATTCCAGGAAGAAACGCTTTAGGTTAGGTCTCATGACAGTCTGTAGACAGTTGCCGCTGCATTCTGCACGGATGTGAGCCGTCCGTTGTCCAGTGTGTCTGTGCTGTCTATGCTACCTACCTGTCAGTCCCTCTGAACAGTCATGGTTATCAGACCAACTGGTGGTGGTGCAAAGCTCATATTCAAGTAACCCTCAGTTTATATGGTGGTGGCTCCAGAGCATGAGAGAAGCAGCGCTGGCAACACAGATCTGGGGAGAAGCAGCGAAGTGCTTCAGATACCTCACATCACAGGAAGGAGGTGAGCGCCATGTAGTTGGAGACCGTGTGCACGTGACTTACCTCACGTGCGTTGCTGGAATGGTTCGTTTTGTGTTCATGTCACCATGCCTGATTTATAGATCAGACTTTATCAGAGGCATGTAGATTGAAGATGGTGTGTATGGGGTTTGGTGCTGTCCAGTGTCGGACGCCCACTGGGGTCTTCATGGATCCTCTGGGTGGGCAGGGCCTACTGCTCAGTCAGCTCTCCACGTCTGAGGCTCCCACATCTGTGGATTCAGCAAATGGGGATAAGAAACATTGGGAAAATTGTATCTGTTCAAACACATGGGCTTTTCTTCCTTATCATTCCCTGAACAGTGCATTAGACCAGGCAGCATTTATGCTTATTAGATATTATAAGTAGTACAGAGATTTACAGTGTACAGGGGTGTGTGCTTGGGTACATGCCTATGCTACACCATGTTATGTAAGGGAGGAGTGTCCTTGGATTTAGTATCCTTGTTAGTCCTGGAACAGGTCCCTGGGGTCAGAGGAAGGACTGTTCTGGGGTTTTGCAGTTCCTGAGGGCTCCTGTAGTCTCTGGTTTGTGCAAGGGGAGTAGGCTTCTCTCTCTACCTTTCAGGCACTGTTAGACCCACCAGTGGAATGATGGGTAAGCAGGTGACAGTGGCTGCCCCTCCCTGTCCCAGTAGCAGGAGTGTCCAGTGTTTCCCTAGCTGGGTGGGTCCACCCTTTTGGGTTTTGAAAGTGTCCACCTCAGGTTGAGGGTGCTTCCACAGTCCACTGGGCTTTGCCATGTGGTTTCTCTGGGTGGCCACAGGACTTTTCTCCGGCACTCTTCACATGTGGTTGAATGAGTTAATTTTGGAATGGTGGACCTACCCTGAACTGCAGGACTGTGACGCCTCATTCCACATGAAGGTCCTGGTCAGAGTTCAGGACAGGGTGAGGGGGCAGTGCTCCTCCTGGTTTGAGAGTGAAGGGTGGGACCGGCATGGTTTCCCTCCTGTTGTTGGGCAGGTCCAGCTTTGCGGACAGGGTTTCCTGTTGTGGAAGCTCCTGTGACCTCTAGGGGAGTCGGTGCCGCCTCTTCATCTGTGTGCTCTCTGGGCCTGCACCCTGCTGCCCTCTGACAGCTGACCCATGGCCCAGGACCGAGAGTGGAGCACTCTTTCTTTCCTCCAAAGCCAAAGTGGGTAGATGGCAGGTGGACCACTGCCACGTGTCTGCAGCAGGATTGCATTTGCACTTCTGGACAGGTCTGATGCCCATCTCGCGGTCAGTTACCTGTATGTGTGGCTTCGTACAGCAATTGCTGATTTGTTTTATGTGGCTTATAATAGTCACTTACCTTTCCCTTCCTGAAATGTAACAAAGCCTCAGTCTGGAAAGTGGCATAAAGGTTTTATGGCCTCCTGCCCACATCAGGTCTCTACTAACCACCTCTTGCATGGAGCTGGTGGCCCTGGCGGGAGCAGGGCCCCACCCACGCATCATCCTGCCTTGACAGCTTCATCTCGTCATGAGCCTTAGCAACAGGAGCTATGTGAGGGGGTCACGTGTGCTACTTCTGTGTGCTATTTTGAGACCTGCTCAGTGTTCCACCATGTTGATTGCAGTGTTTGATTACTTGGAAAAGTCAATGGTACAACCTTGAGGAGCAGCAGGTGAGCCCAGGGGATCGTGGGTGCTGGAGGGAGCCAAGTAGAGGATTTGCATCTAACTTTTGTTCGTGTAAACCCTTTAGTAGTAGTCGTACAATACTGAAAAC